AGCTTCCCTAAATAGTGCATTTGCCTTTGTAATGTAAGGATGTCAATGCCTCAACATTTTGTACTTTTAGTGGCTGTCTGTGCCAAACAACACTGAACTAATGCTGATTAGTTTTGAAAGATTTTGTTGTAGAACTACATTTTGATCATGTACTTATATCCTCAATGGATCATTTCTACCTTGAAATTGCTTTCTATTTCATTGAGTTCTTATTTCTGCAGGAAATGCTTCACTTTTGGATGTCATTGATAACATGTATTTTTAATATAGGGGTGGTTGTAGTCTTAATTCTTCATTATTATGTATTGCCTTGTTTATCTCTACAATCTCCTCCCTTGTGACATAATCTTTGATTGGTTAATGCCTTGTTCATGTCTTGTTCTAACTTGATTTGGACAACTTAATTGTAGCTCTATATTCATTTTAGTACAATCAAAAATATGTTTTAAAAAATGAAATGGAAATATCAACAGAATTCAGAAACACATATGTACACTATATAGTATGCATCTTAATACCAAACCTGATAACCCGAGAGCACAGCTTCAATTAATACACAGACACCAAGAAATGACTCAGAATGAGCTGAAGCTACGTGCTACGTTCAGTAACTGATTGGCCATGTTTTCCTGAGGCTGTGTAAGACATTGCCTTACCTGACTGATTGATATACTGAATGTTGCAACAGTTGCTATTGCCTCAATAATGTACATTATACTATACTGTAGTTGTGTTTTATGAGATTGATGAGACCTTACATCTGGATATCACTTCTGATTGAACTGTTTACATTCATTCAGATTATCTTCATCTCCCAGAACAGATAAAGCAATTTCTCTAGCGTATCACAATAGTGCATCTGTCTTGGCTGATTTCAAACAGAACTAGCTTTGATTATTGTCTATTTTGATGAATGGAATCAATGTAATCAGACTTTGCTACAAACGAGGTGTCAGAAATTTCATTTCATTGAAACAGAAAACAGTTGTAGTGCAAGTGGTCGTCTCAGATTCGGTTGTCAAAACTTGATGGGTCGGTAATATTTCTTGACACCTGCCAGGGGAGATTGCTTTAACTAAGTTGTTAGGTAGATTAACATGGATTTCACTGTTCAGCAAAGATCAAGTAGAATTATGGTTTTTGATGAAAATCTTTGTGGAATTATTGTAAGCTGAAGCATATTGATTAGTTGTTATTCTTGAGGCCATCACTGATATTTGCATTAATATATATATGAGTATGTTGTTATTGGGCTTCTTGCTCTGCATATTTTTTCACAAATGTAAATTATTTGTATAATTAGGGTGAATATATGTCATTAATTTTTAGTTATTCCCGGATGAAATATTCATGTAATCAATCTCATATTCCCTATTTATTGAAGGTACTGTAAAGTCTGCACTTTGTAAACCTTATCAATATCTGAGACATTTAGATAACTCCAAATAGCCCAATAATAATATTGATAATATCACCTCAGAATCAGTGTTAGAATAATGGTCTTAACTACTTCATTGAGAACAATAGTTCTTGAATTGATTTTGCTACCTGCCCCATTGATTCAGGCATACCAGACCCCATTCTAGGCATTGAGGCAAAATATTAAGTAAACACCACTGAGCAACTAGTCATGTTCTCCACAGATCAATTATCCATTTTGAATTATTCAGTACCTTGACACCAAATCTATTTTCATTTAATCACATTTATAGCATATAATTCACAGGAGTTCTGTAATGTTTTTGTTCATTTAAAGCTGTTAGGTCTCTCTTTATAGCATGATGTCATGTTATTAGGTACATCCATAGTTGTTAGGTCTCACTCATTGGCATGGTGTCATGTTATAAGGTACATTCATACATGTAGTTGTTAGGTATCACTCCTTGGCATGGTGTCATGTTATAAGGTACATTCATAGTTGTTAAGTTTCCCTATGTGGCATGATGTCATGTTAAAAGGTACATACGTAACTGGTAGGTCTCAGTATATGCTATGATGTCATGTTATGCGGTACATTCATTATTGTGTACTTATTGTGTCTTTTTATTAGTAGTTTCGCTTAATTTTATTTTGTTTTCCTAGTAATGGATTAAAACTTGTATTTATCTAACTTAAGGGACTTGTCAGTTCCTCTTAAAGCTTATTTATGAGTTATCTAGCAAACAGATGGACGCTAACTCTCTCTCTTTTAATGAGACTTTCCTTTAGACCATTCTAAATAACTTTAATCCTGTGTTTTTGTGTTTTGGTGATAATAGGGAGAAAGATGACATAAAACACCAGATCAGTCACTAACTACATCTAAATAAGGTTCCTTTGGGGAAAATTTGTTACAATAAAGAGTCTTCATATAATTTAATAGTTAATATTCCTTTCATCTGAGGTTGTTTAAATCTCAGATATGCAAGATAACTAATTAATAATAACTTATGCCAAATAACTACATTTTATTTTTCTTTGATATTGCATGACTTCGGGTGATGTAGTAAGTAGGGTATATGATACATATTCAGAAATTCATTCTTGATCCTCACAAGCCTGAGGGCAATAATGTCTTGGAACACTTGTATCCATTTGATACAGGAAATTCTTGTATCCGTTCTGGTTAGGCTAACTTCAAGCATCTTCTTCAGTGTATTGATTGAAAACAGTAACATGTAAAGGAAGCTTGATGTTAGAACCTTAGGAGGTGGTTTTACACATTTTAAAGATCTCCCAGGGAGGATTGATATTTTACTTTGTGGCTGAAAGTGTGACTTCAAAATATTTTCTATAATGATATTATATGTTTCAAATCAACTAAAATGCATTATTTTCAACACAGTTAGAACTGACTGAAGGTCTTGAAGGCTAGAAGGCATTTTTAGGGAGGAAAATGAGTCTTGTGCCAGTGTTCTAATTCTGGTATAAGCATTTTAGTCTTATGAGTCTAACGTATCACCTATACCAAAGATAAATGTTCAAGATGATTGGCTTTAATTATTTTACTATTAATAAATCTTTCACGGAAATTATGATAGGATTTATAGATTATTTATGATTAATTTCTTTTGATTATGATAAAAACAAAAATATTAATTATTTCACTTTCACTGACCTTAGGTTCCTTCTATTATTGAAGTCACATGCTTATACATTTTCATCATATCACTGAATAAACAAGTACAGTTAGACTTTTACAGTACATGAAGTCATTTGTAAATAAAGGATAATCGTGTGATACATAAAACGAACAACATTCTGACAATATTTCAAATTCCCCAATAATTTTTTGTTGGTTATATGTACACTGTTGCTCATAAATATGGAATATTTTATAGATTCGAACTGTTCGATGGAATTTCTACAAAATTATAACATTTTGATGAAAATTTGTAATGTGTTCTCATTCCCTCATCAGTTTTGCATATAAAACTGATTGGTATGAAAAGTTAAAACATTTATGGTTGATTAAACTTGTATTAACTCAGGTGACCCCATGACATCATGATATTGGTAACTTGAAAGAGGTGTCCAAATCTTAGTTGTAATCATTGTGCACATTTTATAAACATTTAATTTAGAGTTTTAAGGGTTTTTAGAAGGCATGCCCCATAGAATGAGAGAAAAAGAGCATGGGAGGTCATAGGGATGGCGCTCTCTGGCATGAAACAAACTGCCATTGCCAGGACCCTAGGGGTGTTTCAGGAACAGTCTCTAAAATTTTGCAGTGGTACCAAAGGCACTGGAATATGACTCCAGGTCACAGTAATAGTAGCCCTAGAGAGACAAATGTAAGAAAAGACCACCAACAGCTGCATTTATGTCATCAAAATTGCTTTAAGTCAACCAGTAGTCTACGAGATGTATGGCTGTCTCACCTCAAAACCCGTGTTCCAGAGCTATAGACAACCAGTGATTTCTTTATAACGGATGCAAGGCCACGAGACCTTTAAAGAGACAACAGCTGACTGATCATAACAAAGAAAGGTGCCTTCAATGGGCTGGAAAGCACCAAAACGTTGGACCTAATCTTTGGTGTCATATCACAGCATGTGAAGAAATAAGATTTGTCCTCCACAAAGTTGATAATTGTGTTAGTTTCTGTCGTAGACCAGGGGAAAGAGACAATAAGGACACTTACTGATGTGGCAGTCCATGAAGGCAACCCTATTTATGTTTGGAGCAGTATAACAGAGGTTTTTTGGAGCAGCACTGCCGAAATTGCACCCCCTTGGTGATTCCCAAACATAATTTCAGAGTAAATTGCTCTTTTGGACCTCCATTTAGTACCACATGTAAACAGAGTGTTTTGGGGCAACATTCAACTGCAGAATGATCATGCTGTTGCATATGCTAGTGGCATCGTGTTGGATTACATCAGGGCAGGCAATGTGGCCCAGCTACCATGGGCACAAAAGTCAGCCAATCAGGCTAATGCAGAGCAAATGTGGGACGATCTTGGTAATGAGATTCGTGACTTGGACCCCCACCTCAAAATTTAGACACGTTACGCACTGCCCAGATTGAGGAATGGGGCCTTATTTCACTTTGAAAGGTCAATGTTTCATCCAATGCTGGTCCCGTAGGGTTGATGCTCTGATTGCAGCACAAAGAGGACATAACACATATTAGTACGATAATTGGATAGAGGACACTTCAATCTTCATGACCAGATGATTATTTTGTTTATTCTGTTTTACAGGACAATTTGGATCGGGGTATTTTGAAAATGCCAAAATTCTTTGCGTACCCCTGTTTAAGTAACAGTAATTTTCTAAACTTAAATGTTAGTATTTTTCTCTAAAAAAATGTTGATTTGTAGCTGAAATATGTGGTTATGATTTGCCTAGAAAATAAATGTCTGAGCCAACTCCAAATAAATGTTCTCTTACTCCAAACTTTTAATTCTGAGCTGCCAAATTTAATATTCCATATTTATGAGCAACAGTGTATATGATGAAAACATGAGCCTTGAACTGACATTGAATGATTTGTGTTTGCAGGATTACAGAATAGCCAAACACCAACACAATGGGAGGTGGAGGAAGTAAGAGTCTTCCCAAGGAGGACTTGGAATTTCTTATGAGCAACACAAACTTCACAAAACGCCAGATTAAACAATGGTTTAAAGGATTCATGGTAAGTTCGCAGAAACTTTTGGAAACAGGTATCACCAGTATCACAAGAAACTGGCAAATGTAGCCATGGTGACCCTTATTAGCAGTATCACATAATTAAGTTGCCATGGTAACTGGTAACAGCAGTATCACATAATGAGATTGTCAAATGTGGCATTCATTTACAAAGAAACTTTTGAAATCAACTGAAATGGTCAGTTCAGACTCTGGGCTTGAAGCATCTATTATAGCACTATAGTTAATTGGGAAGAGTTGAGCAATGATGTATGCCCTCTGTTTTGACCTTGTTTAATATGTCAACCTATAAAAATGAGTTGATAATAAGGTCATTCAAGCCATTTTTTTTTATCTCTGCATGTGAAACTGTATGGTCAGACAACTCATAATTTAGCAGTTGAAGTTTGATTTGTTGGTTGAGCTGCCATCTTTCTAACTTCATTATTATTTATTTTACTGATATTATAATTTAAATGAATTTGCAGACCTTATAGAAAGTATTTTCTTTTCAACTACACTCTTCGAATGAGATATGATCCTTTGGTCGAGCCTTGTCAAATTAGAATTTTTATGACACATTTTCTAAATTTAATCAGTTTCACATTGAAACTCTCAAAGGCCATAAAGCTAAATAAAAACCAAAATATAAAGTTCATATCAGTTGACAATATCACTCTCATATGTCACTCTCATGGCAATTGATTTTGTGGAGGTCCTCTAAAATGGTATATTATACAGTCGTTTCAGAACATGGACAATGGAAATAATGTTGAATTTACCATAAGGACAAATGTACTACCGAGGTACATTTGAACCTTTAATGCACCCAGAAAAGCTAGATATAGAGCTGATCATCAGTATATCATTCTCAATGGGAAATTTAAACATTCCTTGTTTTGGATGATATTTATGCCATCTTTCCTATAACAAGGAAGAATTTTGTAGATGTTTGTGCTAGCCTCACATATTGCCATCTATGAAACAATATATCATATATGGTGTAGTAAAATTGCATCCCCATCTGCTACCCTCTTTTACGAATGCTTGTACAATTGTTAGTAACATCTTAATGATCTCAAATGCAGCTCTTATAAATAGACAATGAAGTGTCATGATTTGTATTATCTTTAATTGGATCATAAATGATTTAGATCAATTACATATCTTTAAAATCCTAAACAGCATAGTATGTGTTATAAAGAATAGCATTTATATGGACATATATATATAATGAATTCAGTTTTTGATTGAACAAACATTTCTACTTCTGTTTCTTTTTTTCTAGCGTGATTGTCCTTCTGGCCAGTTGACTAGGAAAAAGTTCCTAGAGGTTTATTCAGGATTTTTCCCAGATGGAAATGCGGAAAAGTTCTGCGAGCATGTGTTCCGGACATTTGATGCAGATAACAGTGGGAAAATTGATTTTAAAGAATTCTTATTGGCAATTAATATCACTTCTGCGGGAAAACCAGAGGAAAAACTAGAATGGGCATTCCAAATGTATGACATCAATGGAGATGGTACTATAGAGAAGAATGAGATGGTTGAAATAATAGCGGTAAGTTGGGAATCAGCCTCTGTGGAGAGGAGGGTTCACTGGAGGCAGGGTACACTGTATCTGGCAAACAGCTAACATTATCTTTCAGTTGTAATATTAAAGCATAATAAATAATATTAATAATATTGTAGTTTATTGATGGTAATGGGAGTAAGCACCTTAACTTATTTAACAGTCATTGATGTTAAAAAATAATCTTTCAGTAAATCTGTACCATGGATAATGTTTTCCCCTCTCTTATTCAAATTTTACTGTTCAAAATTTGAACCTGTTTTGTGTTCATCTCAACTCTTCCCACTCTAAGCATTTACCAAATGAGTAACATTCCTCATCTGAATTCAAGTACTTTTAGTGTATAATATACCTCATTGCCCACATGTCCTACATTGTATTTCATCCACAACTCCCTTTTTGTACACTATAAATAAGTCATATTTTACAGCATGTTTATTTGGTACAGACTTGTATGAAGATTGATTTTTTGTTAACTACCAATGACGCAAACACATAGGATAAAGTTCTAATACATGTATACATCATCATTCAGGACAGACTTGTTCAGACAAACATCTTGTTTCAAGAGTATCACCTTTATATAACTCCCCCTTGTGAAATTGGAATATTGATTTTAATTATTTAAAAGATAAATTATAAGATCCATAAATCCAGAGCACATGTACTTAGAAATCCCATAAAGTACTTTAATTAATATCGAAAAGTTGAAAACAGTCAAAAGCCATGTCAAAATTTCATTTTCTGCAGTGCAAAAGGACGATTCTCGGTTTGGAGAACGAAGTTCATCATTCTAAATGAGCATTATCCCTGCTTCGGACAAATTTGATTTTTTTACATAATATATATTTGAATGTCCTCTTTTGAATAGTCATAATTTAATTTGGGTAATATTTCTAGATTTTTCGCAAAAAGATATTAGCGCAGTACACTGATAAACATCTTTCCCCAAATCGAGACTTGTATTTATATTGAATCGGTCTATTTGAGCATTATCCCTGCTTCAGACCAATTTGTTATCTTTACATCTTGTAGATTTAAATGTCCCATTTTGAATATTCATAGTTTAATTTGGGTAATATTTCTAATTTTTTCATGAAAAAAATTATTAGCCCAGGAGACTGTTCTCCAAACCGAGAATCGTCCTTTAAATTCATTATTGGTTTTTCCAGGCATAAGATTGAGATATTACACCAATATACACAATAGTATTAATAAAATGAAAAAATGATTGTTTCGTAAATTAGTACCTTAGTGTTGATATACTAGTTGAACTTTGAAATCTCAAAAACAAAGTTGATGCATTCGATAATGAAGGATTGTTTCAGTTTCTAAAAGTCTAAATTTTGTAGAACAGTTTACTCTTTTTAGTCATTATCAGTTTCCCTTGAATAATTACAGATTTGTTATTACTATATCTACCAATCGCCAATCACTATGATCTACATGTACCTGTATCCAGTTGTCTTACCACTAAATAGTATTCTTGAAACAAGAGTTTGTTAATCTATCTAGACTATTTCCCAAAAACCTTTAAACATAATTAAGTATTCCTTCACAAGTAGAATCAGAATATGATATTCAATCATTACATTACAATGTATTTAACAGAATTCACTGCAGATACTTTCTATGTACATGGTATCATGTTGTGCTTTACATGATCACTGTAAAGATGATGCTTTTTGCCATCATTTTGCTCAAGGCTAAAACTCTTGGCTGATGCTCAGTTGTTTTACTGATGCTCAATTGAATGCATTGTTTTATTTATTGTTGGGTGATTATTCTTATTTCTACTTGTGTTTTAACTCTCACTTTGACTCTTCAGTTATAGTCTGCTTAGCTTCACAACATTTCTGTACTTTTTCTAACTTTTAGGCAATATATAACATGGTAGGCTCAAGTAACCCAGCCAACTCACCAACAGACACACCACAAGCACGTACAGAGGAAGTTTTTGATAAAATGGACGAAAATAAAGATGGAGTATTATCTAAGAACGAATTTGTAAAAGGTTGCTTGGCAGATCGCTTCCTGTATCAAATGCTAACTGCAGATCAATCAGCAGCAATGGAGGGGGAATAATGTTAGCTAATCCATATGACTTCTTACACTAGAGACATGACCAGGTGACGGTCATAACACACGTTTCTTATGTCACACATTGGAATATACTCATCATTTGCTTTGTAAATAATCATACTAACTTATGCACAATTGGATATATAAAATTAGTCAATCGTCTCAAAGCAGCATATACTATTTGTATAAAAGTGTTCAAAATGTTTTTTGTTTTATTTGTTTATTTGCTATAAAGTGTCTTTGCGATATCTGCATTCCTTTCGATGGCATGCCAGCAGTTTCTTTGGATATATACTAAACTGTATTGAGTATTATTATCAGAGCTTGCTACCTGGCTCCTAGTTTTTGATGACGCATTCTGTACAAGTGTGTGTTTTGTAGGCCATCTATAACATGGTCAATAACGCTGGTGGCGAGGTGCCCAATGAGACCCCGGAAGCACGAACGAATGAGATTTTTAGTAAAATGGATGAGAATGGAGATGGCACCCTCGACAGACAGGAGTTCATTCAAGGATGTATGCAAGATAAGTTCCTCTACCAGATGTTGACAGCTGACAAGTCTGGAGACCAGCAACAAAATGTAGAAGGATAACAGTTTGCATTGAATGCTATGGAACTAAATATGCATGGTAGTATGGTACAAGTTAAACACAGAAAATGCAAGGTGTTTTAAAGATGATATTTACCACCATTTTGTGTATAACTTGTACCATTTGTTTATCTTACCATGATGCATAAACTGATCTTGTATATATTGGCATTTTGCTATTTTAATACTGTTCTATTGTTATACACAAAGGTATATCTGTACATGTAGAGTCAATATAGGTAGTTAGGAATTGAAATTGAAATATTAATGTATATATATTAATTATGATACAACGTGTGATTGCATGTTGTATATAACATTGAATTTTCCACCAACTACATATTTCAATATATACAACGTTTAAACTTACAAATTATTTTGATTTGTCATCTAAGATCAGACCTGTTTACCATTAGATATATCTTAACTAGAAGAATACATGTATTATAGAAGTGCTTGTATGTGTTTCATGATACAGTTGATAAATATATAGCAACACTGTATTTTAAACGGCCAGAGTACTTTTGTAATCACAGAGTACTTTTAAGAGGTTTTACTGTAGTGTTATTCATACAGTTATTATTTTCTAAAAATTTTAAGTAATGGTTAGAATATTCATAACTGTACAATTGTATGAGACTGAGCTATTTGTCACTGCCAAAATATGTCGTAATAATTCAGTAAACTAGTTGATAATGCATTAGACGGGCTTAATTTTAACAGAGCTTACATTTGACAAAATATATGTATATTTCTTGACCCATATATTGAGCTTTTGCCTAATACCTGCATAGTGATTATTGTTTATGTCAATAAGTATAACTGTACAAAATATATGCATATATGTATCTCCAAATTGAATCTTCACAAATGAAAATGGAAGTTTTTATAACATCCATTCGGGCAAGGAAAGGAATACTTTCATGGCAATATGATTGTCATCGCATTTGTCATGTTATTCAAATATTTTGTACCTGTGTTCCATCTTTACCATATGTCTTTCTAAGTTTGTAATTAGATAGTGTTTTCTCCATACAATTTTTTTTGTATCTGTGTTTTGTTTTATGTGAAAATACAATGATACTCAAGAGAGGAGACCTATATTCAAATTCACAATTGTAATATAAGAACAAGATCTTGAAATATTGAATAGAGTTTGATACTTTGGAATAGATTAATACATAAACTTGTACTTATGTTTTATCAATTTACTGTATTTCTATTCTGTTATCTTAACAATAAATAAGATTATAAGTGTACACATTGTTCTTTTCACAACTGAGTTTAAATAAATGATCATCAATGAATATGAACTGTTTCATTTTGTTGCAAAAACAAACCCATATACTTATGCATATACACTATGTGCATGATCAATAAAAGGGGGACTAAGAATGTAAAACCAAAAAGTAAGGTAAGGAAATGAATATGAGGTAACAATTGCTCTAAGTGACATCGAACATGATAAATAAACATAATGTCACCACTGCCTGAATCTAGGTTGAAATGTTGCATATATCCGCTTACCTATTTTTCTCTATATCATCATGACAAGTTACAAACTGCCAAACTTGGCACAAATAAAATAGTTGATGTTGATGTTTTATTTGACATTTCGAATTTTTGGTAAATGTCTAGTATTGTAAGACTGGATATCATGCTGTGCTTTCATTAATCAATATAGTTCTCCTTTGGGAATGACCCATGGCATCATGAAGCATCCTGACAACATAGAAAGACAGTTAAAACTAATATTGGGTCCAGGTAACTGTGTTTGTATGACATGGCTGTAATGCTTTATGCAATGCGGAAATGTCAGCATGTCATGTAGCTCAGTAGAAGAACAATTGTCCGGGAAGCAAGAGGTTGTGACTTCAATCCCCACTGGAGTGGACTGACTTTTTCACATCAGCTCTTAGCACATGATTTCATTTTGTGTTTTCATCAACCAAATATTTTTTCAAATGAAATAAAAAGCCATGCTTTTTGTAAGCAAGAAAGAGGCCTCTAAAGTGTCAGTATTTGACAAATATGATGTGGCACTTCTTCACTGGATCCTTTGTAAAATCAGCTTTTCTCCAGAGCAAACCTTTTGGACTATGTACATTTTCTTAAACTCACTGAAATAGTGTCCACCATATTAGATTATAATGCTGAGATGGAGGTAATAAAGGAACATGATAGTGTAAATAATGCCACCAAGGGGTATTATGAATACAACCAACATTGCTCAATCTTATTCAGATGATGAGACTCCATGAGGTGCCAGTATATGATATTGAGAAAGGATTGAGGGATCTTAAGCACAAGGATAACAGAGGAAGTAAAATGCTCTGTCATATCACCTGTGTACACAATTTATGCCTTCAGTTAAGCACCTACTTTGTGGTCTTTGTGTTTGACTGTTCCAACTTATGCCAGAGGGAGTGTAAAATAAAGAGTAATCTGCATTATATTATGGATATCATATAAATAATATATGAACAAGGATTGTTTTATGTATCCACCAAACTTTCGATTTAGATTTTGATTTGTTAACACCTTGATGTTTTTACAAAAATATTTATCTTACTGCCTTGGTTTGGTAAATATTACCATTTTTGATGTCTTTAAATCACTGTGAAATTTCTAACGGATAATTCATAATCTGGATTTTAAATGTGGCTATATATTTTATTTGGCTAGAACCTGACTAAAAGAAAAAGTGTGACTCAAATATAATATTCTCATTTATGATGTAATTCAAAGTACATTTGTATTTTCAAAATAATGGTGTTGATTTCAGTAAAAAAATGTAAGGAAAAATATGGTAGTCTGTAAAAAAATTATTACAGAAAAAATAACAATATTACAGTGAAGTCCCATAAAATGGAGGTGGTAAGTCTATATGTTGCCCAGAGTTGATAGTTTTTTGAAAAATTGAATATTTACTAGATTATTCAAATATTGTGTCTGTATATCGAGAATAGACTCCATACTTCTTGATTAGGAAAACATGAGTGTTTCACATTTCCGTTTCAGACTGATCAGAATTTTTCTTTTGGTTCATTGCATAGTTTTTAGGTAAATGTAGGTTCAATTTGTAAATCATATTGATCTATGAAATACAATATTGCGCTTGGATTTGGCACTTTTGGATTGTTCCCAGTCAAATTACAGTCTTCATTATCTGGTTGCCGTTTTACCTGAAATATAGTCGATTCCAAGGTAATTAATAAAGTGTTTTTCTTGGTACTTTCTGGATAGCCCATTTATTCATCTCTAAAACGATTGATCAATTATAACAAATAATTGATCATCGTAATATGATAGCCTTAATGCCGAAATTGATGTCTTGTTTAATTCTAAAGGCAACAATGAGAGATATGTAAGCACAAGTGCCAAAGGGGAATAGCATTACAAGACACTGCAAGATTTACAAAGAATTATTAAAGCTTTTGTAATAAAAATAATCTTGAGCGTTTAAGATCGAGTGCTTGATTATGTATACCAATGAAGCTCAATCAGATGACTGTCTGATGCTATTTAGATTGTGTGAGGTATCTGGTTTAACCACTAGATAATACTACTCATGTCAGTGTACAGTATTATTTTGTTTTGTTTTCTAATGTTGCCCTTCATTCTTTCTCACCTGCACAATTTGCACATTACATGTAGTTTGTGCAGTTGAGCATTAAAAACTATAAATTATGACAGACCCTGTTGAAGCCCTCGTGGAAATGAAACACATTTGGCTTACTCCTATTTCTGATGTTTATAGTTATGTGAATGGCCTATTATAGGATCTTTATAGTCTATTGATCCATGTTACAAGGAGACTTATCAAGAACATGGCGTCATAAAATTCGGTGTCAGCCTCTTCAACATAACTGTAAATGAAATTTATAGGATCAATATTTCTATATCATATTTGCAATAATTTTAGAATGTAGTATGAAATTAAGGCAATCATGGCATTAATGTTAGAGTAGATTTGAGTTTATTTGTACAGATTCTGTGGCAATTGTGTGTATGTCATATTCTAATGGGAGTATGGATTGTGGGGAATAAGCTTAACTATTGATCGTTAGGAACTTATTAGAAATTCCATTCTAAGGCTACAGTTCCATGTATTGTTTACCTAGGTGATGAGAGGCCATCGCTCACATTCATTCTCTTGTAATTTAATCGCATCTCAAGCATAAGTGCACACAGCAAAATTATCATCAAAGAATCGACATGTTATCCTGTTGTAATATTAATTAGTATATGCTGTCATAAATAGATAGTAGCACATATATAGTTCATCGTTATATGGTAAGGCTGATATAAGTTATTAGGCCGATATTGCTTGGCAGAATAATAACACATGAAGCAGGATATATGTAGCCAATATTGATAGTGCTGGAGCAGGTGTATACAGGTGAGCATATATTTAACACAGCAAAATGATTGCTTTTAGCGGATATTAGATTTATTTTCGATGAACATATACAAGGTAAGTTGATGTGATTCTTGTTATGGCCTTATATCATTTTGATGCTGATGTAGTGCAGACAAATGTATTAAGTCAGGTATAAACTCATTGATCTTTGTTGTCTTCATGTTTGGCTGTATCTCTGTATATGATTAATTTCATGGGTTGTTTCAGAGTGTCAAGTCCATGGAATAATAGCCTCGAGACAACAATTGATTTTTGTGTGTACTTTTTATTATTCGTTCAATATTCAATTATTATTTGGAATCATATTCATACAGAGGTCACTTCCTTTTGCCAATTTGCAATCATTCCAATTTTTATTGTACTAGTATATATATCATTGTTTCTAGGATACAGAAATACTAATATGACAGAAAAATAACAGTCAGTAATTATGTAATATGTATAATATCTGAAGCAGAATTTCACTTAGAAAAGCATAAGAAAAACTTACACTACTGATCAGAGGACTGAAAAAGCTAGTCTATCATTAAAGGTCATTCTGACCATGACCATTGTGATCCTAATCATGTAAATGATATATGGGAGTAGTAAAACTGAATGAAGGTCAAAAGAGAATTCTGTTGCTGAATTCTCAGTAAATCAAAAATAAGTAATCAAAAATTCACATGCTTTTTCCAATGGAACTTTTTGGATTGTTAGTATAGATAAATCCTTACAGACTTAATTTAGAAAAAAATGTAATCCTGGTCATATATGTAAATGATATGTGAAACTTAGTTAAACTGACTGAAAACGGGACATTGTTATCTTTGTTCAAAAATTTCCGAAAATCCAGCATTTTTTCTATATCTGTTTGGTTAATTTCTGATAACAACAAACCTGAGATGTTGATACATGTACCAATTAATAATCTATCAGTTGACATCCAGAATCAATGGCAGAGAATCATATGTCGGTTCACGAAACAAAACAAAGATAATTCAAGGAAGTTAGGACTTTGTTCTGTATGTCGGGGTATCATAAGGCAATAGATTTGTATATCTGTGACCAAAATGAACAAACATGATTTAACATAGGTATATAAGCCTCTGCCAGAGGAGACACCACCCACTTCTTTACTTCAACCTGCCATTTTGTCTTCACTTTGCTACAGCACCTACTAACCTCAAAAATCCTATAAAAATATTTTAGTATATTAATCCACTCTTCATTTTGAAGTGTTTGAACAATGGCAACCTAATGATGCATGACAACCTGTCAGTTTGTATATAGGAATTGATCTACCATGTTATAGATTAATGCTATATAGAGGATTTATTTTCAGTTTATATTCAATGTTTATAATGCTCTCTTTGTATATAAGAAATATGCTGTTAATTGTAGAGGTGACAAAGAACAAAAAAAATTGGTGCCACAGCCTAATACAAATAGTAATTTATGTCTAACCACTGGTTTTCATGATGTTGCAAACAACTGGTTTTCATGATGTTAGAACCAACTAGTTTTCATGATGTTGCAAACAACTGGTTTTCATCATGATAGAACCAACTAGTTTTCATGATGTTGCACACAACTGGTTTTCACGATGTTAGAACCAACTAGTTTTCATGATGTTGCACACAACTGATTTTCATGATGTTAGAACCAACTAGTTTTCATGATGTTGCAAACAACTGGTTTTCATGATGTTAGAACCAACTAGTTTTCATGATGTTGCACACAACTGGTTTTCATGATGTTAGAACCAACTAGTTTTCATGATGTTGCACACAACTGGTTTTCATGATGTTGCACACAACTGGTTTTCATGATGTTGCATACAACTGATTTTCATGATGTTAGAACCAACTAGTTTTCATTATGTTGCACACAACTGGTTTTCA